TGTGTGGTCTTCATATTCCTAGGTATAAAACCAATAGTTTGTACAAAAAAATTGAAAGAATGTAAAGTTTCTAGTAGAGATAAATTTGATGAATCCTTTTCCGATCCCGTATTATCTATATATTACTAAACAATCTGCCATAAACTGTAAAACCTGTGATGTTTTGATAACAAGCTATTCTTGTACTAGTAATCATACCCGACAAAGCTTCTATTAACAAAACTTGGGAAATACAGTGTATAATCTGCAAATCTTCTAATGTTGTCTTGGAATAGAATGCACTCTTTGTGGGCTAAAAATATTTATGTTGGTGAAACCAAGGGTTCACTTAATAAAAAAATATCGGGGCATATAGATTTCAATTTATCAACGGGGCTAGTATCTTCTCTACAAGCACTTTAATTTACCTGATCATTCTATTTTGTCGGTGAAAGTTTTTGTTTGTTTATCGTTTAACGTCTCTCGCGAGAATTTTTCACTCATATGGAGACAAGGTGGATGGCTGCAAATTTTGACCTATATTCGGCACTCAGGGCCATATAGCAGTGAGTGATCTTTTTTCTTGCCAGCATCTACTGCAACACGGGACCTCGGTTTATACGGTCTCATCCGAAGGACCGGTCACCACGTCCAGCAGTGGGATTCGAACACGCGATGTACGGATCAACTCCTTACTCTGCGACTCTAGAGCGAACGCTCTTAACAGTGCGCCACGCGGGCGACGTCAGTGAACTTTGGAATTCTAGAAAAGATAAACCATCTCTAATAGACCATCATTGAGTAAACCTTTCCATAGACAACGAGAAATATACTAGAAAACTAAGCATGGTCTTTCCATGTGGTAACAATGACAATGTCGATAGTGTTGGGAATCTTTCAAGTCCACAGTGTAGCAATATGAATATGATGTGACTTTTTAACAACACACAGAGACGTATAATTAAGCGAAGTAAAGAAAATCGGGTTTACAATAAACCAATTTTATGTCTCTCGATACTGTACTTCCTTATATATGCAAATAAACATTTAGGTTTTCATCACTTTACTCCGTCTCTTTGAAAGTTTGAAATGATCTATTTCAAAAGGTCCAGGAAAGTCCATATTTGGATTATTCAGTGGCCATCAGAATACAGGCTTGGATCTGTGATTATCGATATAGCATCATAGGTTTTTTTTTTAACCACCACGCTTTACGGAAGAGAAGTTAGTGCTCAAGCAGCTCATATTTTCTCAAACTTCAATTTGTCAACAAAGGAATTGACGCATTAAATATTAGTAATAAACTTTATCGCAAAAGGTCCAGTCTTGTATTCCACTATATTTCATGTTGAAATCCACACCTTGTATTTCCTACAGATTTTCATCCACTATTGCTTTCAATCATTTTATTTACAAAAAAGTGCCTAGATATCGAATATCTAAAACATAATCCTCCTACGTGTTCATGTTGTTCTTTACCCTACATCTATAGCCCTGCTGGACACGTCATTACTGATGACGTAAATATGGCTAATAATGAGGACCTTAAATCACTTATTTTCTAAGGGCCAAAATTTAGGGAACCACGATCTTTCAATTGACGTCATAATTTCATAAATATTATGAATTCTGTGGAAGATAGACTATGAGCCAAACGTGACAAAAAAGACCTTTACACTTTGTCAGAATGGATGGATGTTGAAATCTCGCATTAAGCGATTGAGGGGCAATATGAAAACCATCTATCCTTCTGTCTTCAGTAATTCAGAGGTGAAAAAAGAATTAGATTACACAATCAATATGCACTGGTCCCAGCTGAAACATTCAATTTGCCTTGTTGGTAATTAATGATTATTACTTAACTTGTATTTTAAAAGAATTTGGATTTAGTTCTGCAAGTAATCCAACTTTTACTCATGAATAGCTGTATAGTTCCCTTTTTAAAGAAGAAATTCTTCAAAATCATTTTTCCAGTTTTTTTTTTTTAATATTTACAATCGAATTTGAATTACCATGCCTATAATAGTATCTAAACTTCATAAAAATCCTTACAAACAAAAATATATACATATGTACATGTAGCTGGTTCCAGTAAACGTTCTACTAAGCCTCTTTCTTTACATATAAACAAAATACTACCAACAGTGAATTAGAAACTTCAGGAGTACTGCACAACAATTTATTACATTTTCAACAGTGAAATACTGTAATTTATTTACTGAAAAAAAGTGATATTCCGACACAGTGTGAAAGGGTATCAAAATGGTATTCTCACAGTGTGAGAATATCAGAAGTGTGGCAAATTAAAACGATTTTCCTTCGCACTCGTGAAAATATCAAAACACTCTGTCCCACTCGTGAAAAAATTCCTTATTCATCTACAAAACATTGAATATCCTCTATGTATTTAAGAAGTGGTGTTTATCAGATAACGGTAATTCCAAGGAACTTTTAATTTAAAATCACAAAGTTTGGCGAAAAAAACGTACGACTTTTCAACACTTTATACAACCATTCCCAACGACAACTTTAAGTCCAGGCTTTTTGACATCATTGACAGCTAGCTGCTTTTTCAATAAAAATGGAACTCGTAAATTTACTTGCCTTGTCATTGGTCATTTGTAAAATTATTTTATTAAAAAACATTTTGATTGTATATATACACAATTACTCCGAAGATGATATTAAAAAGATGCTGGAAAAGGTCTAAGTCTATTTTAATAAGGAAATAGGTCCTGACCATTTTCTACAGTGACGTTTTAAAAAATGTTTCTCGTTACAGTAGCATTTTTATTACGGCAAAGTCAAAAAACTGTTCTGGATAGTAGTTTTCGTAATAATTGAAAAAAAAAAAATCAAATCAAAGCCACATACAGAAATAGAAAATCCATTGTTGATTCGCTATATTAATTGTTCAAAGTGAACCAAATGTCGACATTAAAGCAGCAGATGAGAAGAACACTGTATCTGTGTTCTTATCTCTGTAAATGGGGTGATTGATATAGGAAGCACTTAAAGTACTCCAAGTTCACGTGCAGCAAACACTCATCAAGCTTTCAACACTGCTTTAAATATCTGCTATGATTTTCCTAGAACATCTTTTCGCTTTCAATTCCCCGATCTGTCAGTTGGTCTAATATTGCATTTCATAGATTATTTTTTCCCGTAGTAATTTCTGTTTTAGGACAGTTAAATTATATGTTAGTGCCCTTTAAAATAACCTGCTAATGAATTAAAAGTTGTCAGAAAGTTACCAAAACCTTAGAGTGTCTAGGGATATTTTCTGCAAAATAATAATGGAACCACTTGAAAATTTTACCATCTCAAGCATCACCTTTCCCTAGTAACATTTACTTGCAACATTGTCTTCTTCGGTTTACGACCAATTCGTCACTAAATAATCCCGAGAACTATAGCACGATTCGATAGGGCTCATAATCCTTAAATAATTGGCCAGGTCAGCCATTAATATCTTTATATTCCAGGGATTTATACTTTCTTTTCTGAATAGGTACCTCCCCATTTGTTATCTCAACTTGTATTTACCTTTTATCTTCATCTTTTATAAGTTTCATTCACTAGTTAAAAGAGTTAAAACGTTGACAAATATGTTGCAGAAAGAAAAAATCTCAGGCCTCTGTCGAACAATAGTTATCTCTCTTATCTCTCTCTCTCTCTCTCTTTAAAGTAATTTTCAAATTTATTGATTGAGTGTCAGAGTATTTTTTTTTCTCGATTGGATTTATTTAATTTTCTATTCATTATATTTTATCAACTTATTCCTACTGACTTATTTATATTTTTTACCATAATACTTCTGAAAGCATTGAAGATACCTTTTCAAAATAGCAAGCCATGTCCCACGACCACTTTTATAATATATACGGCATGTACCGAATGCGCTCCAGCAGAGAGGTTTAGAAAAAGTTTATACACCGGTAATGTCTATGTTCTTTTTCAATCAGTTTCTTGAAATAATTCAACGAGAGGTTGTCATTAATGTCCTTGTAATTAAAAAAAAAATCACACAAGTGCTTTAATGGTACATGTACTGTTCCCATAAAAGATGTGGTGATTACTATGGAAATTAGTTAAGAAACATAAAAAAAAAACAGTTACTTTTCATCAAAGATAATAAATTAATTACGAAATTAAAGCAATTGGTGTCGGTAATTATTTTGTTACAAAATATACTTCAATTAAAAACAAAAATGAGGGTTTATAAAATTCTGTTTTTCATAATTGCGTTGGAAAAACTTTTAAGAATCTCTGATTGGTGCAAAATTACACTATTGTCGTCCTTTACAAAGTTAGATTTCTCAATATACATGCACTAAGACTCTGTATTTCTGAGTAATTTTTTTTTCTTCAGAAATCGGAATAAAAATGAAATATGTATTCTGGAAGTATGTTTGCTCGTGTATTTTGTAAGGATATCTGGAGGATAATTTATATCATTCTTACTTTAAAATCGTCAATCATATGGGCAATTATGCAAAAAAGCTATATCCCATATATTTCGAATTTGTTCCATTGTTTACATTAGGAACAGTTCTCATATTTATCATTGCAAATAAATATTTGACATTTTTTTTAGAGAAATGCATAGTTTGCATTTTCATGTAAACTAAGGAGGAATATAACCAATAAGATAGCTTGAGAATATAAATAAATGAGGAAAATATAATATCTTTTCCTTTTTAATCCACAAATCAAGTAGGAAATTTATTAAGCAATAAAGCATAAAGAATCACGAGTGACGAAATTTAGAATTCCGGGATAAGAAAACCTATCTCAATCGGAAACGAATTGCAGACACAACACTTATATTTTGTAGTTTTTTAATGACTGAAATTTAAGAGAGATATATGTAAAATAATAAACAAAGTTTAAAGGTTTTGCTTTTATTTAACTCATTTTGTTTAACAAGAATAAAGGATACACATACAGACCAGATCAAAGCTGTCCTCCCTCGGTTGATCAATGAACTCGTCCAAAGTGTTTGTCGGCGATAAACTGCGGTAATGCTGTTTCGTGATAGTCTGTGAATGGACACGATGGACAATATACCACAAATTTGATTTCGTTTAGATAACAGGATGAAAAAGGGCGACATTCGTCTCCTTGTCGGCTGTTCCGTGATTACAGCAACGTGTATATTATTGTGTTTTGTTGATGTGCGAGGGTTCTCGAGTCTGGAATCGCCATGGTCTCTAGCGGATGCTTTCTCGGAGGCCGATTCCTGGGAATCGATAGGTAGGTGTACTGTAAGGTTATTCGCTTATTCTATAAATCTTTGTAGATCTTATAGCCATTTTTATAAACACCATTGTGATAAAGGCTTATATTGAGTATTAAATCAGCACGTGTAGGTTTTCTATACTTCAGTAGCACATTTATAGTCATCGCTCATTAAGTATACTGTACAGTGTACTATAAACCTATTTCACAGATAAGGGGCACAGTATTGAAGTCAATGGTTTAAGTAAATGATGTTTAAATTGAATTAAACTACAAGCACTTGTTTCTGTAATAAAATTCCACCCAGTAAAAGTATTGTAGTTATTCAACTGGGTGAATTTTATCACAGAAACAAGTGCTTGTGAACATGTTGAATTGAACATGTTGAGTAAGTCCAAAGAAAATTTTTTTTTCCTTGTAATGTTTTATAAAACTTTTAGGCTTTCAAAAAGATTAGAAACATGGCACTTTTACAAAAATAGGAGGTACCTTGTGGAAATGATTTAACTAAATATTACGTTTTATTACTTATTAAAATTTTTCTCCATCGAATATTTTGGCCATTATAATCATGATTTCAGTAGGGATCAAAGTACTTGGTACTGGCAGATTTTGAAAGGTTTGACTTAGGGTAAGAATGATTTTTTATGCCCTCTGCCATGAAATGGTTGCAGCATATAGTGTTACCTTTTCTATCTGTCATACTGTCATTGTCTTTCCATCATTATTAGTTTTCTGGATATTTTTTTTTTTTTGCTGTGCTAGTAGATATTGAACTGACTTTAAGGAAGAGTCTTTATATTGATGACTTTGGATCAAGTTTGTGAGTTTCAGGTGGATTGAGGCATTTTTCCAAAAGTTACCATGCTTTGAGTTTGAAAATTTCCTATTCGGTGTTTTTTGGACTTTTTTCTAATTCGTTAGCCCTTTATACTTGTCATGATCACATTTTCATGGAGCTGGATTCTCTTCAACATTTTTAAGTTGTGGTGGGCAGGCAGATTTTATTTTAAAATTTTAATTTTTTTTTTACTAGTTTTCATTGTACAGAAATTTTTGTTGACCTTAATCAATAGGCACAGATTTATATATATATCTATTATGCCCAAATAAAAGTCATTATGGAGATCCATTTATGGGTACATTATAATTTTCTAGTACATAAAGACAACAATCTTTCACAAGCAGCAGTCCTCAATGTTTAATTAATATAGCTGAAAATCACACTCTTGGGATTAAAAACAAAAGTTGATGATGGAATGGTAAGTTGAACACCTACCCTGCTGGGGGGGGGGGGGGGGGGGGGGCTGGGCAGTTGGGAATGAGAATCTAGCTGTAGGCACTTTTTGTCAAGACAATTAGAAAAAATATTATAGTTGATTGATTACATTTTGTCATATTAGTCTGACTCTATGTGGAATAGGGCTATCTATTCAGTCTCATGCTCACAAAACTTGGCAGAAGAAATTTTGCAGCACAACTGGCACCAAACATCACTACAATTAGTCTGTGGGAAAGTTTATAAAAACTTAGTTTCACTTTAAATTCAAATTAAAAATTCATATTAAGTTAATGCAAGTTTGCAAGTGTCCAACCTGTAGATTTTCCTGCAAATCTGACATTGAATTCAAATGACTACTAGCATATCTGGTATATATTGGATAGTGTATATTAAATAGTAAGCATGAATATATTGGTAGATAAGACAGTGTCTAGGATCTTATAATTGATTTCAGATTTACATATATATTTATGTATATCTATATCTCTCAAATTATGTTTATCGTAAATATATCACTAATGTTGTAAAGTAAATCAAGGATTTATTGTGTTTACAGAAGTTTACGTATGTTGATTCAGAAACTATGGAAGATACATGTGACAAGAGGACACTCTCAGTGTTTTTCTCTGTAGAATTCCCTGTATGATAATTAAAAGCACAAATGTACATATTGATTATATAGTCTTCTGTCTGCCCTCAACTTTATAGCATCAGGATTGTATCTCTCTGGGAATATATAAAAGTTGGACAGATCCTCAGCTTCGCAGATCCAACCACTGAAAAAGTCTTTGATATAATAAGGCAACTTTTTTTGTCACAAACTTAAAGGGTATTATTTCTTGCATTATAGTTATATACAAAATCACACATACTTAAAGCATGGTATTCCTGAATTAAATATATAATTACCAGTACTCCTCTTTATTGTTCCTTCATGTACTGTAACATTTTTATAATCATGGTTCCAGATGGCCCTCTGTGTCCTTCGAGGCATATCTACTACCCTGCACTACAACTAGGGGGAACAAATAACTAACACAGGGTATTATTTAATCTCAAACCTATTATTTGGCTGGGACTTTTCATAATTTTCAAATTTCAGTTCAGTTCAGTTCTTTATTCCGTGGGATGTACATCCCATCAGTATTTAGTGTAGTAAGATTTATTAAGAAGATAGAAAAAAAAAAAATTTTTTTGAGGGGGGGGGGATATTGAAAGTCTGAGTAATACCCTGTTAACTGGGGTTTCACTACAATTACTTTTTGGAAACCTTTTTTCTTTTCCATAATGTGCGAGGAAAAATAAACTATATTGACCTTTTTGCATATCAACATGATCAGTAAGTATAAATATGAATATTAAGTTTCTTTACAGTTAAAACATTGCTGTGATGTCATGCCTTTGGTCTTGCAGTCTAAAAATTTACCTGTAGCCGTCCGATAATAATAATTAGCAGTCCAATAATATATTATCGGACGGCAGTGATAACAAAATCGGACAGTACTAGTTAAAAAACAACAACTAGAGTGAAATCAAGGTTTAATATGTCCAGAAACCTAAAAATAAAAGTTAAGGAGAAAAAATTCAGGGAAAGTAAACGCGGGCCTCAAACAGTCTGATAATTTTACATATAGAACAGTATTCAGCATATATCCATTACATATATATTTTTCCACCTTGTGTATCAATAATTCAATGTGAATTGATTGCAAGCAAATACTTTTACATGCCTATAGCTTTTGATGAGTAAGACAAATGTTCTGATCTTATGCATGAATTCATTTAATTTCCTGAAGATATTTTTACTGAGAAAGAGTTGTAGGGCAATAAAACTAAAGTTCTTCTTTGACATATATTGATTTAATTGTTCTGACCTTCCTGGATAATCAGGCGGGCCTGCAGTGTTGGTGTTTTATTGATTTATTCTTTAGTTAGTGGAACATTAAAATGACCTTCATAATCTGCGGATTAAACATGTTCAAGTGATTTCAAGCCATGCGTTTTAATTTGCACTATATATTTTATAGTGGTGTCAGAAGTTTATTAGTAACTAACATAGAGGAGGACTTGTCAAGAATTTTAATATGGATTTACTTAGGATTAACTTCTTGAGGCTGATTATACTATTAAGATGATTTGAATTATTATAAATGGGTAATTGGGTATTTATTTTTTATAGTAAACAGCAAAACACAAAGCTAAAACAAACAAACAAAAAATATTATTAAGACGAAGTTCTAGAATTACCTTTAAGATGTATTGTGAGTCCGTTGTTCACCCAGAATATTCGTCATATGAATGACTGTTTATCAAATACACACTCTTGACCATAGATAAGTTGGTAGAAGCCTAAAGGAGAGAGTAAAAATGAAAGATCTATGGTTAAAGGTTATTAAAGACTGTCTTTCTCTTTCTCTCTCCCCCCCCCCCCCCCCCCCATCAAACTATGAAATACAGTCATAGAATGACTACAGTTGTGTACCATTTTGTGAAGAGGTTGTTAATTTATAAAACAAGTGTTCCTTTAGTTTGATTATCTGTTTATCCTTTAACATATGTACCAACCAGGAAGGGTACAATTTCACATTTTATTTAGAAATCATTTGTATACATCTATCAGTTACAGTTTAATGATCTGATGTACATGTAGACATATAATTTAATACATCAAAATAACATCTGCAGGATTTGTGTATAACATTTTAAACATGTAAGAAGACAATATTTTTAATCTTAAAACAGAGTATTGTCACACTATATTGTATATATTCAAAATTAATACTAATGTAATTAATATTGATAATGTTATTCCAATTTCTCTGTGCCTAATGGTTCCCAATCCCCTAAGAAAAAAAAAAGACAGAAAGGGGTTGGGGGGTGGGGGTGGGGGGTGAGGAATCGAAGCAGTATTTTTAAGAAGGAAACTTCTTTAATACCCAGTCTGTGACATGTCTATCTGAAATTTTTATTTCAATTAACCTATACCACACAGTGGCAGTTGAGAGAACTTAATACACATGCGATAATTGAATTTGGGTCTGACAAAACTCAGGATTTGACTTTTTTTTCACCACTGAGCAGCAGCTTAGTCTGTATAGCTCTTATGTGCACTGAAAAAAAGACAACAAAGTTCAGGTTCAGTAAAATCTGTGCCCACTGAAAACTTTCATTCATTTTAATGCATGTATTGCAGTCAACTGGAAAAATGTGATAAATTCAGATGATTAATCACAGTGGTTAAGGTTATATTAGTCTGATCCCTAATTTTCCATGAAAACCTGCTCTTGCATACAATCATAACCTTATATCACAAATCTTTATTCTATATGTATGGCGATTTCTTCATTTGTGTCTATCAGGGGATGATATTTGTAAGGCCATGGCCTCTTAAAGGCCATTAAGCATGAACATTACATACGATCAATTGTTAATGTATGTTGTCTGTAAAGAAAGTAATGTCTCTTGAAATTGATAAGGCTACACCCATTTGTACTGAGTAATATATAATAAATAAATCTTTCAAATGTGAAAAGAAGTAATTTCTACTATTATAATTACGGGACTGAATAAGTTACGTTACAGTAATAGTATTGAGATGAATTGTACATGCAGTACTTCTGTGGTTTAATTCAGCAATACTTGTCGGGATCCTTTTCAGTTTTAGTTTCAGTTTTACCATGATAGTATGTCAAGAACTCTTAAATTGCATGGTTGCAATATGTTTTAGGAGGCTTCTTGGAGCTTTCATTGTTTTTAATGAAAGCTGAAAGTTGCTTTTTGTTTTGCACTATCAGATTGATAAAAATGTTGTACATGGTCAAAATACATCCAGGAACCATGTACCAAATTCCTTCTCCACCTCTTTCATTCAGTTAGGGTTGCATTGTCAAGAGAAGATCAATCCATATATTTCCAGTATAATTAAATGTGGATGACCTTCCTATTTTTTAGCTAGGTCATGATGTTGAGATGTTATATGGTTATTTGTGTGAAATTTCGAATTGTCACAGTTCATGAAATTTTCAAGACTACATTATGTTATACAGACCCTAAAATGTGCTACTACACCAGGGCTCGACAATAACGCTTGTCCGCTTGTCCGGTACCAGTGAAAAAAATTACGGACAAGTGAATATTGCTGGGCACTTGTCCGATTGGACAAGTGCATTTTAATATATAGGAGTCTCTAAATAATTAAAAAAACGACTGTTGATAGTTAATCGGTAGTTTCAAGACGGAACTGTACATAAAAACCGGACTTCGATCCCCATAGTGATCGTGAGTTCACATTCAATCGGGATCGAAGTTCACTAATTGCATACTACTGAAAAGGCATGGAACTTATGAACTTGACGAAGTTTGGTTCACTTGTGGACATTTATGTTGTTGTCAGACCAGAAAGACTAGATAAAATTTCGTTTAATGTGTTTGTTGTATTTATCAATAACATCATGAATCAATCAAGCACATGTCACGTGTAATGGACTTTATTTTAGTTTTCCAGTTGACAGTATTAGATATTTATTGAAAATTTTTCGGACAAGCGAAGTTGAAGTTCAGACAAGTAAATGTCTTGGTCACTTGTCCGAATGGACATGAAAGAAAAAAAGTTAATGTCGAGCCCTGAACACCACTTGCACGGTTCGGTTCATTTTGTTTTGTGTACGGTACGGTACGCTTCTTGCACGGAACGGTACGCTTTGTGAATGGTACGGTTCGCTTTGTGCACAGTACAGTACGCTTCTTGCAGGGAAGGGTTCGTTTTGTGTACAGTACGGTTCGCTTTGTGCACGGTACGGTACACTTCTTGCACGGAACGGTTCGTTTTGTAAACGGTACGCTTTGGTGAATGGTATGTAAATTAAGTGGGTGGAGCCTGTACGCTTTAGTTTATGATTGGCTACTTCATAAAGTCGTTTATTTCTTTATTATAATCTCTTTATTTTATATAAATGGAAGGACGGTATCGCAAGCATTTTTAATATTAAGTTGTTTTTAAGTTAAAGCTGATATAGATATTTCCTTTTTACAGCTCTATTTTCATTATTACATGTAACTAGCTGTAATAAGTCATCTTATTAACTGTATATTTTTTAATTTAATTTCTGTATGAACTACTTTCAATTTTTAAAATAAAATAATTTTACTTGTCTATTTATTATCTTATTTTGTACACATGATTACCTTATGGTTCAATAACTTGGAAATAAATGGAACATATCAACAAACACAGCATAACAAGGATGAAAAAAAAAATTTGGTTGTGTCGCCATAAAGGCCTTTCTGTATTTTTTTTAAGAATTAAAGCGTACATATGTTTTTTTTTTTTTTTTACTTTTAATTTTCCTAATTGAATACAATTATTATTTTAAATATTCACTTATCACACTTTTAAACAAATGAGTTTGATTTGATAAATCCCTCTGCTTTCATTTCGTCTACCATTCTTTTTTAAATTACCGTAACGTTCTTGTCGCTGTTGCTTCATTTAAAAAAAAAAAAAAAAAAAATTTTCTCTTGACCGAATGATCAAACAAATAAAAAATAAGTCATTATTTTCATATTTATTTGCGAGGAATTTTAATTTTTTTTTTAATAGATTGCTTACTAGGTGTTTGGCTCACTAGGAAAAATATATTGAAAAGTAATCGGTGGAAGCGCACACAATTAGTGCAAAATATTACTTAATTTTTGTGCACGGAATTGTTTTCCTTTTTACATAAATTTTACATCAATGTGTAAAAATGCTTTTTAAAGGGAAGTTACAATCAAGAAAACGGTTAAGACAGCTTCAATTCCATGTACAATGTATAAATGTATATAATATATATTGACTGCAAAGAAAGATTTCCGAACTAAATAATATGTTATAAAATGTTAGAAATAAATAGTCCGTTTTCAATTAGGTAGAAAAAAAAATAATATGCAGCCATGCATGTCCTCAAAAACTTTGAAAATGATCGAATAATGTCGGGTGCTACCCTCCTCCCTTTGTTTCCTTGTCAAACTCAAACTTTTTTATCGAAGATCTAGAAGAAAAGCTGACTGCACATGAAATTCTACTTATCTGCTGATTAAAACTGGTTCATTGTTGTAGACTTGCTGTATATAAGACAGCAAACTGTTGATACACGTGTGAATGTAGGCATATCTGGACTAACAGGATTAGATACGGTTCAATATACACAGTTTAAGTTTTTACCTGTGCACGTGTGATGACAATACTTTAAGATTAAATTGGGCTTTATGTGTAAATTCCAGGTAACATATTTTATCTGCAGGTTTCAGTGAATGAAGTAAATGAAATGGGAATATGTTTTAAATAAAAATTAATTCTGACATATATCCAGATTTTTAAAATTTTTTTTTGATCACGTGTATTAAACTGAAAATTCCATGCGAAAATGTGGCGATCGAACTTTTTGACAGTATGTTATATTGGCGATAACATCTTGGGTTGGTCAGAAGAGTGTAAACCAACACATGTTATTTGTATATACATCGCTTTTATTTATTTTTTTTTTGAGTGATTGAGAGGTTTTTCATGTCCGGTTTCAAATTGACAATTTAGTTCGTAATTTTTTTTTTCTTTGCTAAATCTGTAATCATTTCTCCCTAAAACTATTACTTACATGAATAAAAAATGATTTTAAGGGCTTGATTTCGGAAAATAGCACAGAATCCTAATACATTTTTCAATGTGTCTTGGTTTCCGAGAACTTTCATAGAGACAAGAATAGGGTAGATAAAAGCTATAGAAATAAACGATAACGTGTTTAATTCACTTTTATTTATTATAAATTGTACAAGAAAATATAAAGATGCAGCATTTAATATGAAAAAAAAAATTAGTCAAGCACAACCCGATCATGGATAGCAAATAAGGAATCGCCTCACACTCTGTCAAGTTGTTTTGAAGCTGTGACTAGTTTTGAGTAGTTTCCTTATATTAAAAGATGTACATGATGTAAGTCCAGATGCATGGTACATAATAAAAATATTCTGAATCTCTAGGGTTATTGTCCATCCTTCTTTAACGGGCGCTGCATCGAAAGAAATGAAAAAAATTACTTACTGTAATTGGTCACTGCAAGTTTGGGGCGTGGCTTGCATAATTATTTTAAAAATTATTCATGAACGGTAGGTTCACTTTGTGCACGGTATGGTACGCTTCTTGTACTGTATGGTTCGTTTTGTGTACAGTACGGTTTGCTTTATGCACGGTACGGTACGCTTCTTGCACGGTACGGTACACTTCTTGCATGGAACGGTACGGTTTGTTTCTGAGGTGTAGTAGCACGTTGTAGGGTCTGTACCCAGTAACATATATTAACTTCAATGCTTATTTGATAATATCATGATTATGTCACATACAACTGTACATCGAATGTTGTATAATAATAATTCTACAATAAACAGGATAAATTCAGCAGGACATTTATTTTATTGCATGCATTATTTACACTGTATAGATCTCTAGGTATGTTAGACTTAGAGAGATTATTATATGGTGAGATAATCATGGAAGTAATGATTTCTGCAGTTAATAAAAATAACAAGCACAACTCAAATACATACAATTGTGTGCTGCATTATTCAGAGAGTTTATTGAAAATCAGTTGATTATTAACTGCAAGTTATTTGATTACCTGTATATATAATGTTTGCTTTGATATTTTAAATGTCATGAGTAAAAATGAAACAAACATTAAATTTACTGTTTTCTTCAAATTCTGCAGTTGCCACCCGGAAGTTGAACTCCCTGACCAACTGTACTCCCCGGGCCATCAGACAGTTCCCCACGGGCCTCTTCTCCCAGAAGCAGCGGGCAGGTGGTGCTGTCATCATCCATATACTGGTGGCCGTGTACATGTTCGCGGCCTTCGCTTACATCTGTGATGACTACTTTGTTCCATCCTTAGAAATTATGTGTGATGGTAGGGGTTTATCTAAGTTACCTACTTAGTTGTAAGAATTGAAATTTATAGTCATCCATTGTGTGCAGTATACACTTCAGTGGTTTCCTTAATTTTCTTGGGGATCCAATGTTGACTGTGTTTTGGCAAAATAATTATACAATGTCTTTGATACATCCTGACCTATTTTATGATAAGTAAAATTTGTATATCATTGATAACCTTATCTCAATATCTGACTCAACCACGAAAACAACAAAAATTGATCTTCAGCCAAAAAAGAGGAAACATTCGAAGATGGAAGTATGACTGAGTTAACTTATTCATTTATTGCATAATGAGGCTGAGAACCAAATCACAGTCTCCATGCAATGACAGTTAATATTAGGATGATTTTATTTAGAATCTCTTTTGAATAAACAAAAAAAAAAAAAAAAATAAGCTCATGCTTATACATGTGTTCAGTTTAAATTTGACAGAATATGTTTTTATTAAAAAGGCAAGGTTTATGCATGCAGTGTTCATAGTGATGTATGGCAATATATCTTAAAGGAAACAGACAATAAATCACAATTGGTGGGATGATTAAATAAGTGAATGTCAACATTGGTCACATACATTGACTGAAAATCTTCATTGAATTCACATGGCTGCATATTACTGTTTGTAGGGAATGTCATTGCTTAGTAAATTTATGCAGAGCTTTGCTCGTTAATTAACAGAACAATACATCTTCATGATTATCTATTACAGCTATGCATCAATCATTCTAAAATGAGTATAATTTTAAATCACTAATCTTCAATTATGTTTATTTTAAATCTTTAATCCTTTTTTTTTTTCAAGAAAACTTGATCATGTATATATATGATCAAAGCAGATTTTTTTTTTAATTTATATGATTAGATTTAATGCTGAAACTACAGTTAATTGTCTTTTCAACATTGTTCAATAAATGTAGACTGGTCAGAGAAATAAGAATCCTATTGTGCAACTTGTGTGAAAGTCTAGGTTTCATTTTCACAGAAAAAAGATGCATGATCTTTATAAAATAGTGAGACTATCTTATCCCTTTCTTTAAAGTATGTTGTTGTTAAATTTTATTTTTTATCTACAGTGTTTCACATTCAGTCTGATGTAGCGGGTGCCACATTGATGGCTGCGGGAAGTTCAGCTCCCGAGCTAGCCACGGCAGTCATTGCTGTATTTATAGCACAGGTACAGTACTGTAGTATACGACTTGAATAACAACTAAGTCATTGCTGTATTTATAGCACAGGTACACAATTTAAACAACAGCTAATTAAGTCAGTTTGTATTTATTGCACAGGTAGTATACCACTTGTACAATGGAAGACATACTGAACAAGCAAACCCAAACATACAATAGAATAGGACCCTTAGGTTTGCCCTGCTTTTTATCATGTTTAATATGTTAAAATTCTAACTTACCAATTGATTCAAACATGTTGAGGAGCAATTATCATTAATTAAAAATTTAAAAATCCCCCCCCCCCCCCAATACAATAATGGGCATTCATGTGTTCATGTGTAGAAAAGGTTGGCAAAACAATTTGCATCAGAATTAACTCAATCATTAAACACATCTGAATTTAGCAGCCATATGTGCAATTGCTAACAGAAAATTTTCAAATGATTGCACTAAAAATAGTCTTGAATTTAGCTTAATATGTTACTGGTGTTCATCATTTTTGCAGACGCATGCATTTTAATTCATACAATTGTAATTTAGTTGAATTCTGACAAGCATTGATTAATGCTTGTTAAACATTACTTGTAACATGAGTATACAAGAACACATCTGTAGTTATCTACAATTGACATCGGAAAAATTATTGTTTTACAAATGTATGAACTGATCAATATGAAAAAAATCAATAGGTATACATAAAAATTCATGTTAGATCTATCTTAGTAGCATATGTATCAATGATAAATTTGAGGAAATAAAACAGAAAAAAAGTAGTTTTACAAGAAATGGAAACACCAATCTCTTCTTGTTTTAAGATGTATACTGGAAATAAATTAGTAATATGTAGCTGAATGAGGCTATAAATACAGTAGATCTAGTCTAATCAGGTAATTGTGTATTCTGAAACCTTGCATATTACAATGTAAATTTTTATTTCATTTCATTAATAAATTTAATTGTTTAAAATGTTGCCTAATCCAGAATGAACTGTCTAACAATGGTCAATTTGTATGGAAGCAGTGATGTCCAGAAAAGACATGTTTTACTGTATTTATCATGTTTATAATTAGATATATTAGTAAAAACTTGGAAAGATCTTCTCTTTTTATTTACATGTACTAGTACTTGTCTTCAACTTGAACTTCACCATCATATGTTATTTTCAAGTAACACCTCTTGGCAAGAGTCAAGGTCATAGTCATGACTTATATCAGATAAAGGTCAGATTAAGAGGTTAAAGGTCAAGTAGAGAATTGATACATGTACATATCTTGATAGGCTGTTATACAGGGAGTTGCACTTTTTTATTTTTACAAGTACTTGTATATAGTTTGCTTAAATTTTAACATTTTATTGCTGATGCTTTACAGGTAGAAATAATAATTATATTGGAAATTCTAGTTTGCTTAGTATTTGGTTCTGTCATAATGACAGCTGTGCATGCGTGAGAGCAGTGTAGACAGGTGCACCATATGTTGCTTGTATGTCCACTGATGAAAATCGGATTCAATGTATATTTAACAAATTTGTACTGCCTCTTTGTTTGCCTTTGCCTTTATTTTTGCTCAAAATGTCTGATTCATTAAAAGGTCTTATAAATTCATATTTTTATACATGTATATAGTTAAGAGTGGTAATTGGCCAGTATTTGTGTCATATATGACCTTGCAAAAAGAACCATTGGGCAAGGGCAGAAGAAATGATAAAATATAGAAATGTAGAATTTTTGTATGGTTCTCAGTTCTCACCATAATTCATTATTTTGTAGTCTTTAAAATGAGAAGCTATAGAAACTTGTTTTACTCACACATCTTACTCAAGACTGGAGGGGATGGTTTATGACCCTGAATTGGGGGCAATTGAAGGTCACATAAATTGACCTTTGTTAGAGTACAACAGAGGTATTAGAGTTTTTTAAAAGACTTCTTCTTGCATTCAGACTTCAAGCATTCACTGCTTCAAGTTTGCCCACTTTACTTCATGTTCTTTGGTAAAATTATACTCCTTTGCATTTATCTCCATATAAACAATATGTAAAACCAGGCAAGCTACAAGCTGATGAAACAAGGATATCAACAGTCTCGTTTGAAGTCACCATTTCACAAGTTCTATGGTCAATACAATGACCTTGTCAGCAAATACTATCTATCATTAAGTCAAATGCTGACTGACTTTTTTCATACTAATTGCTAGGCCATTATTTACACACTGAATTGTCTACAGATTTTTCCGTTTTTCCCGATCATAAGTAGAAGCACATGGTAGGTGTGATTCGTGTTTGCTTCTCCATGACACCTGATCCCATCTCTGATGTTTTTTAGATGTCCGTGTTTGTTCTGCTCTTGATTTGCATTGTTTAATAGACTTTGAGCCTGAATAATGTTCGTTATCTCCATTATTCATTTCACAAAGTTATTTTTTTTCCTTTGAGTGTTGAAGAAAAAATATTTGAATTTTAGAATTATGGAATTTTGATTTTCTTCCCCCTGTACAAATGCAAAGTTAAGAATCATGCAGTTGTATCAAACTTATTATTTAAAGTAACTTAATTTGATAGGTTCCAAAACACCTCTGAAAAGAAAGTGCAACTTAATGCAAGTGTCTCAAAAACTCATCAGTTGATAAATATTCACATAAATTTTATTATTTTTTTCAAATTCATATTCCCATTTATTTCTTGATTTTGTAGGATGACATTGGACTAGGAGCTGTGGTTGGCTCTGCTGTTTATAATGTGTTGTTTGTCATCAGTGTGTGTGCCTTCTGTGCTGGCATGGTAAGTGATGTGCTGTTTATACAATGTGCTCTGTCAGCAATGTGTGTGCTCCCTGTACTGGCTTGGTTAGTCTTATAGTGCTTTTTATAATGTGCGTTCTGTCATCAGTGTGTGTGTGCTCCCAGTGCTGTCGTGGTAAGTTTTGTGCTGTTTATAATGTGCTCTCTGTCATCAGTGTGTGTGCTCCCCGTGCTGGCATGGTAAGTTTTGTGCTGTATCGTGCTCTCGTCATTAGAGTGTGTGCCTTCTCACAGTGCTGGCATCCTGCGTTTTGTGTTTGTTTTTTTTCTTTCAATTAGTATGGCAATGTGGATTATGCATGTATTTTCATTGAAATGTGTAGTTTTAACAGATCTTCAAAACAAAAAAACAAAAACAAAAACAAAAAAACAGGGAAAAAATGTAATGTCAAGTATTTTGATGTTTTGATTGTATTTATATATTTTAACAGGTGCAGCTTATTTTAAAGCTTCCAAGAATCTCTCTTTAATTTAATACATGCCTGTTATTTTGATATATTGTTACAGGAAATTGTTAATCACTGTTAAAATAAAGATATTTTTATGCAAATCAAAGCCTGGCTGGTTTGTCTTTGCACCATGATCAGAACTTGTGAACTGTGCAGCATGCATTAATTCATGTCGGGCCCCTGTCACATGGATTCAGAATTATTTCCCCTTGAACAACCTCTCTCATAGTTCAAAAAACATCAAATGATTCTTTTCACCATTTACTCTCTGAAAATATTTTTTTCATGATCGTTTTGAACAATTTAATAAAATAACCACTGAATTTAAAGGTGCTTAGACACAGATTTGAAGTTAATATTTACTCAAATATTCTGTATAATTTCATGACTTATATGTTGCTATAGCATTTCATACGAAAATTTGATAAAAATCTTATTTTATCTGGAAGTTATTGAAACTTCGAATTTCTGGACACGTTTGATAGATACATCCTTGCACTTTCACAAATTTTAACTTTATCCTTATTACTTTAGAAAAGTAGCAATTTTGTTGTTTATTAAGGTATGTCACTCGTGAAATTTCTTATATCAAGGATTTTTTGAGAAGTATATTTTGGATAAGTACTCATATAGTATGACTCAAAATCGCAGAGAAAATGGGGTGTCAGTGTGCATCTAACTGAGCTACGGTACAATTAAGTTGACCTTTTTGCACTTAAATTGTAACTCTTTGGTTAATCACTTTAACCGTTATCATATTTTATAAGATGTAACCATGGCAATAAACATATTAATCTTATTTTACTTAAAATAGTTTGAATAATATTTATCATTGAACAAATCATGCAAATTAATGCGCGTGAATTATTGTGTTACCTTTTTGCACTAAAAAAGTCTCATATTTGGGGTATTAAAAATCTAAATAGGCAATAGAATATTTTCTTGTATCAAACTTTTTATGACTTAAGTGCTGATTGGTCAAAAGTATCGAGTAGTTTAAAATAATGAAAGAAAAAGTTGGGGTCAGTGATGTAAATTTTGAAATATTGGTCAAAATATGCGATTTTCTGGCAAAAAACTGTTTAAATTTTATCTTGACTTCTTTAATATATCTTCATTTCTTGGCAAAATTTGTTGAGCAAAGGTGTAAATTTTGTTATAAAAATATAAATTGAGACCTATATTTAATATCCCAGGCATATCATAACGGAATATGTTCTCTGAGTAAAAATATGTGAGGCTAAAGTTCCAAGATATTAAATAAAATAAATGTGTAGATTTGCAGAAATTTGTGCTAAATATCCTTCCACCACAAGAAATAGTCCCTTATAAATTTTGTTTCTTTATGAATTTTTGAGCAGTTTTTTAATTGAATGTTGAACATTTTACATTGTTTAATTTAAATATGTTATAAAGATTGAACTGTAATAAATAGTTTTTAAGTTAGAGGTTCTGACTGAACTTTTCTAAAAGGCAGACGAGTGACATACCTTAAGGAAAAATATTAAAACTGATAATGCAGAAATTTCAGAGTAGAAATGTAGAAAGCAAAATCCTCTCAACAGTATTGTCAGTCGGTGCTCAGTGGTGTGTGCAGAGTTTAACAATTGAAAACACCCGGTGAAATGTTAACATTAACAACAACAGAGCTCATGCCCTGTTTACAAAAACAGTTTACGTTTCAAAGGTGTATTCAATTTGTTAAACTCTGTACACAACTACACAACATTTAGCACGGGCTGACAATACTTATAAGTGAGTGGTTTTTGCTTTCACACACTTTTACTCTGAATTTTCTGGATTATAGATGTAATATTATTCATTAATACACAACAAAATTGCTACTTTTCTTAAGTATTAAGGATAAATTTAAAAATTGTGAAAGTGCAAAGATGTGTTACAGTCCCTGAAACGTTCTACTTTCCCACTTGAACGGTGAGCGAACGCTGAACGAACGGTGAACGAACCCTGAACGAACGCAGAGCGAACGGTGAGTGAACGATGTGTGAACACTGAACGCAACTTGGTGAACGATGTGTGAACGGTGAGCGAACGCAGAACGCGAACGGAGCGCAAACGCGAACGCAAAGTGAACGGTGAACAAACGGTGAACGCAAGATGAACGATATATTCGGAATGCCTCTGATCTTTTCCTTGCATTGAAACTATTTTATTGTATTATAATGTCAGGTGCCAAAAAAAAATAAAAAATAAATAAATAAATAAATAAGTAAACCAATAAATGAATGAATAAATAAGTAAATAAAATAAATTCTCCAAAATTGTCCTAAGAAAGACGATTCATGCACATTAAGTTTTTAATCACACGATTTTTAACGCATTAAAACATTGCAATTGTTGCCGAACGCTGAAGTATAAAAGATATTTTTTTAGTTGGAAAATAAAAATGTTTATTCTTATTTGATAACAAATCAGAGAAAACTTCTGACTTATAGAATGAATTAAATCGATTGTAACATCCATTCATATATGTATCTCCGTGTCAAGGCGATTTCATGTAAAGTAATAAAAAAAATTAATTACAAAGGTCAGTGGACGTTTTGCATTTATACGCTCGTATTTTAAATGTTTAATACAATAATATATTATGTGTCATTTCTATTTTTCATGATGATTTATTGAGCAGACTTCTACATGTATCTGTAGATGACCGTGATTATACTCAGACAAGATAATACAAAGATACATATTCATATTATTTGTTATAAATTCAATTTTCAGAACTTGATATTTAAGTAATATGCTGTTATAATTTTTATCAAACAGACAAATGAGAGAGAGAGAGAGAGAGATACATTCCGTTTCAGCCCCCCTTCCTTTCAGGCTTCACTAAATGCACCTATATCAAACAATAACTCTGATATTTTTTTCTAAATATATTAGACAGTGAAAGTAACTTTTTTTTTTTATCAACAAATCATATCCATCTGTTTGACAGTATTACTCGTTTTTATTTTCCTGCTTCAAGTTCACACGAAGTCCACGTGCTTGTCCTGTCAATCAAAATCATTCGACACTGTGCAGGTGTGAAAGTTTCGTCACATCGAAGACGAAGTGCGAGTATTTCCAACAAGTTAAAACATTTATTTTTATCATTTCTAGATTTGATACCAACATTTGAATAATTAGTGAATAAAATATATTGGGCATTAACACTTGAATTTGAAACATACTCTCTGCCAATTTCAAATACCACCGCCGACACGTGTACATTTTGAACTACTATTGTTTTGTGACTTTTTTAGATGCAAGTTTGTTTTGAGACTGAAATTTTTGTTCTAAAAAAGACCTTAACTTTTTTTTAACAGGTTAATTAAAATTTTCTGGAAATACAGTACTGACTAAGTAACCGATTTAGGGGAAAGGGGGGGGGGGGTATTAATTATATCGAATAGCAAACATATAAAGTTACGGTGAAGAAAGATTTTTTCTCTATAACTATAGACTTTACATACATGTATTATAGTAGCGAATATTCTGTAGTGCATTACATTTTAAATAAATATTTCCTTTAAACACACTATCAATTTAATTCGCTCCAAAGATAATAAATTAACAGGATATCCGCAGTACTATGTATAACTCTCAGAACTAGTTCTATCATATTTTCTGTAGTAATTGAATAAAAAAAAACGCGTTAGAAATAAATATTTTCGTAATTTTGCTGCATAATTATTTGACTTGGATAATTATATCTCCATTAACGATTTGTCGTCTTTAACAAAACATCAAAATGTTGCAGTGCTTGAAGTATTTGCACATTGGCCTTAGTTAAATTTAATATTTCAGCATCGTTCTAAATAGGTACAGGATGTGCTTATAAGAACATTTTTTTCCAGAGTAATTTAATAAATAACCTAATAGCTAAGTTAGAAAATATATATCTTAGATTTTTCCCCCATGAAATAATGATTCTTCGAACACGATATGTTAGTATTAAATTAAAAAAATCTGTAACTCCTTACCTACAAAAAGATAAGTCCCACTTGGGAGTTCCGAATGGCAATGACAACTGAACGATAGGTGAACGCTGAACGCAAGGTGAACGCAAAGTGAACGGAACGAAGAGCGAACGCTGAACGCTTTGTGAACGGTGAACGCGAGCGCACGGTGAACGGTGAACGCAAAACTGTGAACGGAGAGCGAACGGTGAACGCACGCTGAACGAACGATGAACGCATGCTGAACGAACGGTGAACGAACAGTGAGCGAACGGAAAAATGGGAAAGTAGAACGTTTCAGGGACTGTAATCAAGCGCCTCCCGAAATTTGTAGTTTCAATAATTTCCAGATTAAGTATTAAGTTCTTAGTTTTATTTTCCTGTGAAATGCTATAGCGCAACATATAAGTTGTGATACTATACAGAAAATTTGAGAAAATATAAACTTCAAATCTGTGTCTAAGCACCTTTAATGAATAAAAGGAAAAGACAGTGTAGGAGGTGACTATTAAGAGATGTTTATAAAGAGAAAATTCAGTAATTTGTAGTTGGATATGGAATTTATTTTATGAGTTGGACAGGAATTTTTTCTTGACATTTTCACAGTGAAAATAGCACATCCTTGAATATATCAAATTTATTAATTGGATGACTGTTGAACATTGTGAAAAGTTAATGATGTGGTTTTAGCAATGGTGCTCTTTCATCCTGTGCAACTAAGTATTTTCTCTTCCTTCCTATTCTTGTATTGTTTTTTGTCTTACCCTTTTCAGTATATGTACACAATTACACATAATATATGTACATGTATAGCTTGATCACTGCACATGTGGTGTACCTGTCAGCCCAAGGAATATCTGCCAAATTCAGAATCTTAGTGTTTTTTAAGTGCTTAATAAGTAATTTGTTTTGATGATGCTTTACTGCTTAAATAATTTCTTTTGATGATTTAGTGTAAGTCCACTGATGAATATTTTGATTTTCCCATCCAGTTGACATTAGAACTGCAGACTTCATTGCAAGACATTGCAATTAACTGTAATGTTATGAGTAATGCACAAATATGCCTTCATTTTACCACACAACTTTGTGTTTGAAACTTTCATTTAGTTCACGAGACAAAGTTTAGATGCCATATTATTTATATTAATCTGATCAATGGCGGCACGTTCAGCCTTGTCTTTTCAATTCTGACATATGACAAGTCCATATTACATGTATTTCAATTACCCTTCCGTAGCATATGTAAATTCTGGGGTAATTACTTTTATCACATTTTGATATTAGACACATCTGAGCCTTAATTAATTTCATTAGTCAGACTGTACAGTAATTACATGTATAATGTTGATTTTTTAATGAAAAGTACATTCATTAACAAAAAAACATGAAAGTTGGGTAGCAGTGATCAATGTTCTTATGCCTAGCCATTTAGATTTAAAACTGTGCTTTTAGATTTGATTTTATTTTTGACAGGTTGTGCATCTACACTGGTGGCCATTATTCCGAGATTGTGCCTTCTATGCCCTAAGCGTTGGAGCTCTGGCCTTTGTCATTTTAGATGAAAATGTCTTCTGGTAAGCAAAATCAATGATTTTAACTTTCAATACAAATACAATGACTCCCACTACTTTACACATGATTTTCTTGCCCTCACTATGGCAGATGGCATTTCTTAAGTAAATAAGTTAGGAATGTCAATCATTTTGAAAAATCATTCATGAAAGCTCTTGTGGTAACACTGACCATGTCATTTAGGTAGATGACTTTTACAGGTGCACAGTTTGTAGAATTTTTTTGTAGTTTAATATGACAGTAAAAAAAATAAAATATTAAAATAATATCAATTTCTCTTTCTCTGAAATGCATGTAATATCTATATATTTAATGGAAGTGCCATATTTTTTTCTTTTTTGGATAAATTCTGGAAATGCTATGTAATCTCTTGTGATTATCCTGATGAAAAATCCTGGCTCTTTAATGTGAGCAGGAGCTCCACTTTGTGGTGCCTTTGTTAATTCTAAATCACTTTTATTTGATCATAGACAAAATGCATTCATGAACTATATTTAATCTTGGAGTAATTCAGAAGATCATGAATTTGAAAGCTTATAGATGTTATTCAACCACATCTGGTAATCATGGAAATGACAGTGCATGCATCTTAAGGCAAAGTTGAACTGTAACAATATAAACTGAATGAAAAATTCTGGCTGAAGTGCATAATTCATGAAATATTGATTAGGTTTATGGGTTTAAGAGGTAACTTCTTAAGCCTTTATAATCAGATTTTGTATGTAACAGTTTGAGGGTGTTTTATTAATGGTCTTTTTATGTGTTCTGGAGAACTGCATGGTTTTCAAAGTTGGGTTTTGCTCTTTATTTGACCTGAATGTATTATGTGTAGCCATTGATATATTTTAATTATACCACCATATTATTTTCTTCAAAGGAACTGCATGTAAGATTAATTTTGACAAATGAATATAAACTGAGGTTAAAAGCTCCCCCACATACATTGAACTTTTTTTCAGTATTGATTATAATCTTAAATATCTAGCCAACTCAGGTATATATGTAGATTGAAAGATCACAAGGGCTTTATTTATTAACCAAAAAGTTTTTCTTTATTCAAAATTTTTATTGACAAAAAAAGCTTTTCTTTATTCAAAATTCAGGAAATTTTTTTAAAATAGAAATTTTACAAAGAATTACGGTAACCCGCGGGACAGGTACAATTAGAAGGAACACACATACATTTACATAAATGTATTTTATGAAATTAGTGTCTCTCAGACAATAAAGCTTGCCTTTTTAAGTTTCAAAAAGAAAATGTTGTGTAAATTAATTAACTTGATCTTTATATTACAGTCATTTTGCTTGTTGTTAAATAATTACATGTAAAAACTTAAACCAGATGGCCTTCATGCAAGTAATCTAACTGCCTGTTACACCTAAACACACACAAAAAAAATTATCATCATGCAAGTCATATGTAGAGCTATCATTATGCATGACTTTTCCCTTTTAATTTAGCCTAATTAAGGGTAATAGGGAGTGGAAGGTGCTAGCTGAAGCAAATGTTTTTTTGTCCTCATGACAAATTTTTAACTACAAACTTTCTTTGAAACTTGAACAGTAAAACTTGTCTAATCCGGATGTTCTGTATTCTGAAATTTTGCATAATATAATGTAACCTTGAAGTCCCTCTCAATAAATTCGATTCTTAAAAATGTTAACTAATCTGGAATGTTGTCTTATCCATCCAATTTATTTAGAACCAGTGATGTCTGGATTGGACAAGTTTTACTGTACATTATTTTTGAAGTGCAGAATTATTGACTGGATACCTTTTCCTGTATAAATATTAAACGACAGCTTTAGAGAAATATATGAATTAATTTGTATGGTTCACAAGATCTGCTTATAGCATTGAGAATGATAATTGCACTCATAAGATCACATCACCCAGATATACAGTAAACCTCAAGTGTCGATCAAGATAACTGTACAGGGTAGAATTCAAGTGGTTTGACTGATTATCCAGAAAATTGGCAGTTTGGTGTTCCTCCTATTGAAGTATATACGGGAACTAACATGATAAGGAAAGATAAGAAAGCTAGGCCAAAACAATGGTGGTGGTTATTATTACAAAACATTTGCAATTTATGGAACATTCTGGATGTACCAGTACTTCTGGATCTACTAGTTTACAATTTGTCTTTATTCATTATATAAATTCAAATCATAATCATGATAATTTCAAGTATTTATAAGGTTTTGAAGAAAAAAAAGTTATTTGAATACAGTTAGTAGGGTAGCATGCTAATATAGAGATACCTGCACTGTCATATACATTCTATAATAACCTTACATATAAAATGGTAATGTAAGGTAATTTAGAATGTACATGGATTGAGAGTATGTGTATCTCTTTATTAGCATGCATTCCCTACTGATTGTATTTAAATAACTTTTTTTTCCAAAACCCTATCAATACTTGAAATTATGATTTAAATTTATATAAGCATGATAAGGAAGCATTGTGAATTGTAAACTGGTATACTATAATGTTTTTGTTCATCTCTCAGCTATGTACACATGTACATTGTATATTTCATTTATGTTGCATGTTTTAAGAAGGAATGACCCATATGTGTAAAGTGAAGTACGGGTAACTCTGAAAGGGGAAGGCTTTTTATTTCCTTTAATATGTATAATATTATAATAGTTGTCAACTTATTGAACAACGTACAATTTATTTCAAATTTTGTCTGTTTATAAAAATTCTAAATTTCCTTGAATTTAATTCATTTTCATTTTTGACTTTTGTAGGAGAATTAGCATTAAAAAAAATTAGAGTATATACTTTAGAGTTTTAGAAAGCTAGGATTTACAGTTTTTTTTGTATAGAGAAATGTAAGTCTTTGTGATGTATTGGAACACTCCCTATGGACACACATTTGACAGACTTTTTTTTGTTTTGCATTCATAGTCATTCAAAAGAGTGTTTGCTGGCTGTCATATTTTTATTTCATAAAAAGAAATCTTACATCTAGGTTTAACCTTGAATGACAAACAACTTATTAGAGGTAAGAGGTTTAGGCTACAGATGAAGGGAACTAAAGTAGATGGCACAGAACTTTACTACATGTACATGATTTAAACTAGACAACAGCTTGTGTTGTAGGCAATAGTTTACAAATTTAAATCAATATATATGTCTAAATAATAAGATTTTTTTTTGAAGACTGCTCATAAATTTATTAATATTGATTCTCTAGCTGTCACTTCTGAATAAAGATACCTTTTAAAAGTTGAATAGTCCCTGTAAATTAAGGTTTCCTAGCTAATCTGTTGGTGATCTTAAAATTAAAGGGTATTTTTAATGTATTTTACATGTATTTTTAAAGGCCCTCTGATTATGGTCATACAATCCATTAAGCATACTTACACTAACTTGATTGTTTGATATGTTTTTTTTTTTTTCACTTTTTGTCCTATGATTTAGAAACATTGAAGCTGCATTTAAAAAAAGCTGCATTAAAAAAATTAAAGGGAGAGCAAATACAGGAATTACCTATAGGCAAAATAATGGGAATTATAAAATTGCTGGCTGCATTCTATTATTTTTTCAAGGCACCTCACTCTCTCACTCTCTCTCTCTCTCTCTCTCTCTCTCTGCATGGTGCAAGGCCAGTGCAAAGCAAATTGCACAAATTGACTTTATCCACACTGTAGTACTGGAAATATGTATTTTAGAATTAATCTCACTGTACTAAAAATGGACACATCGTCATTTGCATTACATATATTTGCCAAACTATAGGGAATTATGCTATTTCAAAATAAATTTATAACAATTAAATTTAACTGTTACATTGAAAATTTAAAAAAAATAGTTTATATACCTGGGTAAAAATAACAAAATCAGAGAATATTTGGTTTCATTGTTCAATGTATGATTACCATGGTAACAGTTGCATTTATTATTATGCAAAAACAAGTATACAGATTATGATAAGAAATTGGTAAAGAATTACATGCAGGCCTAATGGGTTTTTTTTAATCAGCTGAATGTTTATTATTCACTTAGTATTACCATGATTAATAGTTTTTGAAACGGAAGTTGATTACCTGGATAATAATTATAACAGTAACTTTGTAATTACTTACAGATGTATTCAATTTTTATGTCCCAGTGTAATCAAAGATTCGGGGACATATAGTTTTTGCTATGTACGTCCATTTAGCTATCTGTCTGTCTGTTTGTCTGTAAAGACTTTAACCTTGCCCATAAATTTTGACTGGTTGGAGCTGTGGCTTTCCTATTTCACATTTGTATTCCTTGTGACTTTGAGTACCATCATATTTGACTTTTTCACCTTGACCTTGGAATTTGACCCAGGTTTTGCAAAATTTTACCCAACTTTAACCTTGGCCATAAATTTTGAACAGTTGATGCAAGGGTTTTCATACTTCACATGTGTAATCCTTGACCCTTTGATCTTGACTTTGGAGTTTGACCTACTTTTGGAAAACTTTAACATTGCCATAACTTTTGAACAATTAGTGCTAGGCTTTCATACTTCACATATGTAATCCTTGTTACAAGACCTTCCTTTGGATACCAACAACTTTGACCTTGACCTTGGAGTTTGACCTATTTTGGAAAACATCGGAAAACTTTAACCTTGGCCATAACTTTTGAACAGTTGATGCTAGGGCTTTCATACTTCACATGTGTAATCCTTTGACAAGACCTTATTTTGGATACCAACAACTTTGACCCTTTGACCTTGACTTTGGAGTTTGACCTACTTCTGAAAAACATTTACCTTGGCCATAACTTTTGAATGGTTAGTGCTAGGGCTTTCATATTTCACATATATATTCCTCGAGACAAGACCTTACTTTGGGTACAAACATATTTGATTTGCATTTGAGAAAGTTTAACCTTCGCTATATTAGTTTGCCTTATGGGGGCATCAGTGTTTCACAAATACACCTTGTTTCCTTGGTATTTGCAGGTATGAAGCTCTCATACTGGTGTTATTCTATATAGCCTACATCATCCTGATGTACTTTAACTCAACCATAGAGGAATGGATTGTGCCAAAGTTCAAACACTGTTGTAGACCATTCTCAAGAAAAAAGAATGAACCCGAGTCTGTAGTTCTGTACGAGAAGCTCAGGAACCCTGGAGTCGGAAATGGGTCAGTGTCCAAGATGGAGAATGGTGGAGGTGAGTCATTATGGGAGCTCAAAAATTAAAGTATACTTCATATTTATTTAGCAAGTTTTATTAATCATTGAAGCACTGAAGATTTCATTGTAACATAAATCTAAAATGGTATAGATTTATTGTAAACAGAATATATTTTATTGCTTAATTAAGCATTTCATGGTTAAAATTAGATTTCAAAATGTCAAGTATTTGATAATGTTTAGTATTCTGTGATTGGCATGGTTTTAGGAAGTTCTACATAAATGTTGGCAGGAAATCATAGCTGTGCGATCACAAAGATTTTTGAAGAGGAACCTTTTTATGTTTTTCATGAAATTCTTTTGCAGAAAAAAACAAGCATTGATTCTATAAACAGCATCAGGAAGTTTTTTTTTTCTAACTCTAAACAATTTGTTTTTAAAAGATTTTTTTAGGGGCTGATACAGATATTTGCCTCTTCTTTTTTTTTTTTTTTTAAAATTGGAATGTTTATAATTATATGCCTATGAAATGACACTGTCAATATTGTCATGAATAAGGCTATGCAAAGAGGTTCAACTCTGATAATGTTAGAATAAAATATAGTTTATTCACTATCCATAAGAAGTTGTTTTTTGATTGAAAGGTAAAGGAAAAAATTACTTTTTTTAATTGTAGATAAATGGGATGGAGCACAGATTGCCTCCCCTGACTCGGATTACAATTCTGAGGAAGACATCAGCGAGGTTGATGTTATGTACAAAGAGATTGGTCAGTGATCTATATAGCTAACTTGTATTAATTCAGCTGCTTTATCTAGCAAATAAACTTTTTTTTGTTTGTTTATTAAAACAGATATGCCATATAGTTAATTCAGGAAATAACAAAGAAAAAAATGTCCCTTTATGATCTTTGATTTATGGACTGTTTAATACTCCATTCACTCCCATATCTCTGTGTTTTCTGGATTATAGCTAATATAATCATTATATTAAAGAAGACATCACAGTTTTTTAAAAATTAAAAGGAGTTCATAATTAAAAATTATTATTGCAAAAATTTGAATATTTATTTGATCAAGTTTTTGAAAAAAGTTTAAATAGCTGTATTGAAACAAGATTTATATTCAATTTGTATTTCAAAATAGAAATAAAAACATATATTGCATATAATAATAGAAGTGTATCCTGCTTGTAGGACCCAAACCAACAGAGGAGCCACAGTCTGTGTTTGAGATGCCCACAGGCTGTGTAAGGAAGAGTATATTTATAGTCTCTATTCCAATCAAAGTACTCCTGTACCTGACAGTGCCAGACTGCCGGCAGGCACGCTGGAGGAGGTGTTTTATTCTGACATTCTCTATTTCTCTGGTCTGGCTTTCTGTGTTCTCCTACATTATGGTGTGGATGATCACCATTATAGGTAATTGTCAGAACTACAGTAATGATATCTCAATTTTCCAGTGCTCCTACATTATGGTGTGGATGATCACGATTATAGGTAATTGTCAGGACTACAGTAGTCACCTATGTAGAACAGTGGTTAGAGCGTTTGCTCTATGAGAAGTTGATCCTTTGTGGGTTGGAATCCACTATATGACTATGACGTGAAGACTGGTCCCGAGTCACAGTGAGTGCTGGCATGAAAAAGTTCCCTTAATGCTCAAGGACCATAAGTGCCAAGTTCAGGTCTAAATTTGCAGCACTCCATGGGCAAGTGGTGGCTTTTCAGTATGAGTAAAAAGTTCTTGAAGGGACATTAAATAAGTAAACAAACACACCAGGTCCTACAGTAATGATATTTCAATTTCCCATAATTGCAGGTGATTGTGTCCTCAGGGATTGCTAGTATGTTTATTGGAGTTTTGAAATGTTTTGTCCCTCAAAATAACAAAACGGAATGTTCGATGAATAATAAAATAAAGTTGATTGTTTTGAAAGTTTTGATTTCAGCATCAGAATTGTTAAAGAAAAATGTATAATTTATTTTTTCTTCTAGTTTCAACAAAGTTTTTAGCTCACCTGAGCTGAAAGCTCAAGTGAGCTTTTATGATCACCTGTTGTCCGGCGTCCGTCTGTCTGTCTGTCTGTCTGTCTGTCCGTCCGTCTGTAAACTTTTCATATTTTCAACTTCTTCTCAAGAACCACTGAGCCAATTTTAACCAAAGTTGGTACAGAGCATCCTTGGGTGAAGGGGAGTTTAAATTGTTAAAATGAAGGGCCAACCCCCCTTACAAGGGGAGATAATCAAGAAAAGACAAAAATTGGGTGGGGTCATTAAAAAATCTTCTCAAGAACCACAGGGCGAGAAAAGCTGAAACTTATGTGGAAGCATCCTTGGGCAGTGTAGATTCTAAATTGTTTAAATTATAGCCCCCGGGAGTAGGGCGGGGCCACAATAGGGAATCAAAGTTTTACATTGAAATATATAGGCAAAATCTTTGAAAATCTTCTTCTCAAGAACCACAGGGCCAGAAAAGCTGAAACTTATGTGGAAGCATTCTTGGGTAGTGTAGATTCTAAATTGTTCAAATCATAGCCCCCAGGGGTAGGGCGGGGCCACAATAGGGAATCAAAGTTTTACATTGAAATATATAGGCAAAATCTTTGAAAATCTTCTTCTCAAGAACCACTGAGCCAGAAAAGCTGAAACTTAAGTGGAAGCATCCTTGGGTAGTGTAGATTCTAAATTGTTCAAATCATGGCCCCTGGGGGTAGGGCGGGGCCACAATAGGGAATCAAAGTTTTACATTGAAATATATAGGCAAAATCTCTGAAATTCTTCTTCTCAAGAACCACTGGGCCAGAAAAGCTGAAACTTATGTGGAAGCATCCTTGGGTAGTGTAGATTCTAAATTGTTCAAAGCATGGCCCCCGGGGATAGGGCGGGGCCACAATAGGGAATCAAAGTTTTTCATTGAAATACATAGGCAAAATCTTTGAAAATCTTCTTCTCAAGAACCACTGAGCCAGAAAAGCTGAAACTTATGTGGAAGCATCCTTGGGTAGTGTAGATTCTAAATTGTTCAAATCATGGCCCCTGGGGGTAGGGTGGGGCCGCAATAAATATTACAAAGGGGAGGTCTTGTGAAGAACAGCAGAGCCAAAGTAACTCAGGTGAGCGTTGTGGCCCATGGGCCTCTTGTTTGATTTATCAGATCTCTGTGCCAATATATATACTTTTATTCATTTTTTTTAGGTTACACAGTACATATACCTGACACAATAATGGCCTTGACCTTTGTAGCCTTTGGGGTCAGCCTCCCAGATGTGATATCTAGTGTCATTGTTGTCAGAGAAGGTCAGTAAAAAAGCACAACAGCACTAAATGTATTCTGAATTGAGGAATGTTTTTAAGTTGTGTGTTAGTTATTGAAGTGTAAATCACAGACTTGTCACGTAGGCATATTTCATGAAGCGCGCTAGCGCTTCATGAAAAATATGCCTACGTGCAAGTCTGTGTGATTTACACACCAATAATTCACACTGAACTTAAAAACATTCCTTATATTTACATATTAAATGTTTAAATGCAGCAAAAATATACTCGATGTTTGAATTTCTCGCTGCCCTATATCGTCATATTTTATTGACGTCTCTTTGTTTATATATCGTCATATTTTATTGATGCCTCATTGTGACATCACTTTAGCGCGAGTTTCATCCTTGTATATATTTCTACATGTGAGTATATACAAAAATTGCTTTCAAATCAATTTCACAGTTGGCTTAGTAGAAAAACACAGCAAATGTAAATATTTCCTTATAAAAACATTCTCTTATAATGTCATTCATTCTGGATAAAGATTTCTTTTTAAAAAAATTATGAAACAAGCAAAAACAATAATTAATTAGTTTTTAACATGCAGGTCTCGGTGACATGGCTGTATCGAATGCTGTGGGGAGCAATGTCTTTGACATTCTGATTTGTCTAGGAATACCATGGCTTCTAAAATGTGCTCAAGGAGGGTTTAAAAAGCCCATACAAGTGTACAGTGAAGGTGAGTCAGTTATTACCTCCCTTAGACTAGTAATAATGTGTTGGGAAATCCCAAAATAGTATAGGCAGTAAGTAAATACTTGGTTTGTGACCAAAAAATTCAATATTTTATTTTTGTGCAATATATGATATGCCTACATAACAAGTGAACAAGGTTTTGAAAAATAAATTTCAAAACTGAAAAATATGTGTACCTAATACATATACATACTGTGTTAAATAGTTATACTTTCTGTGCAGCTTAATAGACAAAGTTAGCTAGATCACACAAGTTTTATTTTTGAAATGATATTCTTTTTTATCTCTAAGAAACCTTGGAATTATTATTTTTTTTCTATCAAAGTGGCATAAATTGTATTAGCTATTTCTTTTTTGTAGGTTTGCTGTACTCAACCCTGACCTTGCTGTTAACCATTGTCTTTCTATTAGTGGCGACACATGCTAATGGATGGAAACTGACCAAGAGATACGGAATGGTCCTTATGATTGTGTATATACTCTTCACTGTCCTTACTTCTTTGTATGAACTCAATGTGTTTGGATATGTTCACCCTAAGGAATGCCAGAGAAGCGATTGATCTGTATGGAGGGTTTAAATTATTGTCTCTTTTTGCATTTCCAAAAAAAAAACGACCAAATATTTCTGTGATCTGAATATATATTTTTGTTTTATTTATATTAAGTTTTTTCCTGTACAAGAAAAATCTCAAAAATTTTAATTTTTACACTGTAACACAAATTGTGATCATGGTGCTTACTGGAATTCTGTTTTTTGGTGTTTTTTACACACACTACAGGGTCAAATCTTTACATGTCTCATTGTCCATTAAACACTGAAATAAAATAAAATAAATCTTCTTGGCATTAACTTGATGTCATTTTCCCCTCACCCCACAAAATATTTAAATAAGGATTTTTTTTTTTTGCACGTTATCTAGTCTAATTTGTTAGATATATTTCATTCTAGAGTAACTCAGTATTGTAGCAGCTACTTATTGCTTCTTAGAACTGCAATATGCTATCCTAGCTGCTACATAGGGAAAGCTAATTCACTGTAAGGTACTAAATTCAATATTGCAACCTTTGTTACTGATTTGTATCCCATGACATACATACATGAACTGGTGGTGTTTTCTCCTTTTTATGGAACAAAATGTTTTATTATTACATACAATTTTGCTTCATGCCCTTTGTCTAGCTTTGCTTTGAAAAATAAATAATTATTGAGGTATTTGTATTCTAAATATCACACCTAGAAGCTTGTGTTGTTGCCTGTACTATAGAGATTTAGATATACTATGTGTATCTAGTGCCTAGAGGCTAGCTAAACTGCTGTGTTCATGAACTGCACACAGTCTCTATATTCTTCTGATCCTTTTGTATAAAAGTACACGGTCATGTAGAATATCAAAATGTATTTTGCATGAATAAAATTTTATGTTGTCATTTGGTTAAATTTTTAATGTATATTTCACACATCAGATGTTAAAGATTTTGACTACTTTTGGTGTCTGAAATTTTAGAATGAAATGCATTACCTGTGATTGAATTTTTTTTTTCTGAAAAAATATATTTTTACGTGATGTTGGTCAGTGTATGATTTTCTTCTATTTACATTATACAGTGGATTTGATATATGTAAGATTTCTTTATTTCAAAATAATTTTTCATATTTAATTTGTTTTAAATAATTATGTAAAATCATTTATTTTGTCGCAATTAAGTGTTCTTACTTATATGTACAAGATTTGGATGTTAACTTTTGCTAGAAATCTTTCTATTTTCCTCTCTTCCTTTTTTTTTTTAATAACATTCCATTTTGTGATAATATTTAATATTTTAAAAATATGCGGAAATCACAAACAAGTTATTTACATTATATAGTTTATCCTTTAATCTCATTTATGGAAATTATGTTTTAAAATCCAAATAAATATATTTTGATTATTAAATTAAATTCTTGGTGCACTTTCGTTTGAACTGTTACATGTACCTATACATGTAGCTATTGGAGTGTCCTTAATATAAGATTTCATGGTCAGTATTGATGCAAGGCATTATACTAGTAGACATTTGTCTGACAACATGTTAAACATTTGCCTGGAAGAAAAGAAATTTGAACTGCTTACTGTGGAACTCTTTCTACTGAATTCACATCTTGACAGCAGCATCTGCAAAAAAATCAATGGAAACTACAATGTTAACTCCAAAAAAGCCAAAGAAAAAAAAAATTAGAAAATCAATTTTTCATTATTAGAAGTTAAATATAAATATTTCTATCTTTGATAAAGAATTTAATAAATTATGCTGTGTCTTGTATGCAATAAAAATATTACAATCAAGTAATTTCACCAAAAAAGACGGGACTTGTAATTGCAAAAAATACTACATGCAGTTTTTCATATCAATCCTTGAGCACAAACCAAATTACATGTACACGTATTTTCTGGTCAAAATGTGTTTGTATTTTCCTCCACTTATTATACTTTTCTTGCTCTCTTGAAGAGTTCTGATAGGGGACCCGTAACTAATTCAAAAATTGCGCCAATTACTGTTAGACATATTCACACTTGTCCCAATCGAAAATGATGGCAATTACATTGGAAAAAAAATTTAAAAGGATCAAATTCAAATCATATGTTCATGAATTCTGTTTATCTGATGTTTTATATCTTTTGCGTTATCTTGCTTGTATTCTACCATGGACCTATATACATATGAAGGTCCTTGATTGTACTGGATTCCTTTGAGATGAGGACCATTTCAATTTTTTTTTCATTCAAAGAGTAAGATTTTTCATCTTTAAAACAGATACACTTGAACGTTTATCAATCGGTTCAAGTGAGAAGATTTCTAGTATTATGCTGTATAGGAATATAAAAACGAAGAAGATACAATCAAACCAAAGGTGCTTGGGTTTTAAATGAATTTACATTTTAGGTGTCATGCTTATTCATACATGTATACAAGTAAATCCCAAACACCTGTGATCAAAATAGATATATCTGAAATGTCGAGATCTGAAAGGGAAGAAAAAGCAAAAAAAAAAAACAAAAAAACAACAAACAAACAAAAACAAATAAAATAAAAATCGTGTGAATGTATTAGAAAACACTCTCAGCGATCGCACACTATTTAGCTTACCTGAGCCTTAGTCTCATCATGTAAGCTGTTTTAATTTGAACGTGCTAATGATCTGTCTGCCTTTACTAGTATTTTTTTTTTTTCAAATCTTCATTCTTATAGAACTATGTTGCCAATTTATTTAAAAAAAAAAACCTAGATGAACACAATTCAGTAAAGGAAATTAAATTTAAGTCGCTATAGTAACATTGTTATATATTCGTTGTCATCCATCTTCAATTTTTTTTTTTCACATATTACATGTGTACTGTAAACATCCTTTTTTTTCACGGGGTCATGATTCTGCGGAATTACAATTTCTGTTCAATCCGCCGGAAGGAAAGAGCCATAGCTGCCTCCATGACGACACGGCCGACTCAAGAATTTAAAAGGGAATCACCTGTTTCTATTTATAGATATACCTTTTCAATTCAAGATCAAACTATGTAATATGATTTGAGGGCGAATGTTATATTTTCATAGTTGCAAGTATGTCAAATGACAATCATTTAATTTGTTCAATACTCTAATTTTGAGACAAAAGATTTAGAAAATCAATTAAAATAAAACAAGTAGCTATGAATTTGCAAACTTTAATAAAATAGTTTAGGACTATCTTTCATAGTGTAATGTGTATATTATAACTTTCTGAAATTATGTATATTATAAAACGTAATAAAGAAAAACGTAGAAAAGATACACACAAAAAAAAAAAAAAAATTAAAGAAAAGCATAAGTGGAAAAATGTGGGGCTCGAACTCGCAATCACCATATTTACATTCCAGCAATCATACCACTGCGCCAATGAAGTGAATGACGTCGAATGGATAGATTTAAGACAGATTGCTAAATCTTACGATTATATGAGAAGAAAAATTGAATATATATTTTCATCATTTTCAATATGAAGACCACCTTTAACCAAAATTATCTAAATGTAATGAAGTGCAGACATATCCAAATAAAATTATTCAAAAGTTGTTTTTCTGGTTAAGGGTGGTCTTTGGCAACAGTGTGTCATCTTTGGGTGGATACCTCAATATTTACTATATACTCCATACAAACTGGATAATTTTCATATTTATCATATGAGGGAACTATTAATATTGAAATATCAATATTGTGTGGTTTGGTTTTACGCATGTGTAAACTAAGATTGTATGACAAAATTTTGGTTAAACAATGAATTTAAGAAATCACTAGTAGAGTAGGCGAAAATGCCTATCAAATGCGCTATGGCTCTTTCGCGGATTTCCTGGAGTGCCATGATTGCATGTTAAAAACAGATGAAACTTGTGTAGAAGTTTACTTATCAATAAATATTCAAGCTTCTTTAATGCATTTCAACCATGACCCTTTAGAGCGGAGACGAGGCAAGAAAGGGGTAAAACTTTTACATTGAAAGGAAGAAATGTTGAAAAAGCTTCTTGACAACTACATGGCTTCAAATTATCTAATTGATACGCAAACAACTTCATATATGTTGTGAAAAGTAAGACTAATTCCTCATATCACTTCAATATCTCTACTAATATTTCACTTCAACTTTTGCCATGACTAAAAGATTATCTCAGTCACCTCAATATCCAAAGTAATTAATGAAATACACTGTAAATGGTATGTCAAAATGAAGTTGATTAATTATATTGTGTATTAGACAAAAAATGCAGTTCTAGAAACTAGTACTCCGAAGTTGATGTTAAAAGATACTTGAGTTTCTTATTGACAATATTTAGTATGTGTTTTTCGGAAACCAGGAGCCTAATCTGTTGGATTTCACATGAGTTCTAATTGTGCACTTTTTTGTATTCATATGAAGCAGTATTTATTCAAATACTTCTACATGAAAAGATTTATCTTGCTTCAACTTAATGATATATCAACGATGTTTTTTATTAACAATATTCAGTTTCATTCCTACATTGATTCGATATATCCTCGAAATAAAAGACGCCACATCTGTTTCATGTGATGGCAAACTAACAACTAGACTTTATGATAAACATGAAAATCCCAACTTTTCTATCGTCAACTTCCCTTGTTCATCTTATCACCTGAATATGGAGTTATGTCTCTCAGTTGATACGATACGCAAGAGCATGTTCTATGTACAAACAATTTCTAAAACGAGGCAGGCAATTGACAAATAAGTTGGTGATACAAGTATATCAACAATCTTGTTTAAAGCCAGCATTTTCTAAATTCAATGGCCTTGTTTGCAAATACAGTCTGCTGTTGGGCCGAATGTTGACTGACGTTTTTTATACACATTGTTAGGCCATTATTTTCACACTGAAACGAGTACGGATTTTTCTTTTCCGTTTACCCGATCATGACAAGATGGGTGTCACCGGTTAACAGGGGATGCTTCCTCCTCTCTGGCACGTACCTTATCCAACTTCTGTTTTTAGAGAACCGTATTCATTCCAGTCATGCAATTAAGCGGAAATATTGCCTAACCTCAAACTAATTGCATCATGAATTATTTTGTCCTAAATTATAACTATTATGTACAAAATATTACCATAAACAATCTTAAATCTTAGAAATGTAATGAGTAGAAAGTGACTTAACGACATCCGCTACTCAGCCAGGAAGGATAACTCTTAATATTATTATTTAATTAAAAAGGTCTCAAAATTAAGCTTGGAATTGAAATTTTATCGTGCAACAATTTTCATTGCATGCATCTGAAAATGAATCAAGGTTTTAGAAATAGTCTTGTAAAAAGTTGTCATTTGTACCCCATAGAAGTATAAAAATAAATACATTTTTAGAAAAATCGAACTTTCTTTAATCTAGCCTTGGATACCAATGTTTATTAGCAAGATATGAAATTAGAAGTGATCTATGTTGTTTTACAATGATAGCACAAATGTTTTACACTATGTATTATATCACAATTAAGGTATTCAATGTATAACGACCATGTTTTGTACCTAATAAATGGATGCTCCAATATTTTTAATCATGGTAGCATTTTGAAGGTGTTATCAAATAAAAATACTTCACCGAAGGAATTTACAAAATTTTGATCATTGTCCAATTAATTGCACCTTGAATTTTACATTGAAGTCTATGGGAAGCGCAAGTGTTATTTAAAAGATATTGTAAAAATTATTTGAACTTCATACAAATCTCTTGGTGAAAATATGCATAAACTCTCACTTTATTAAAATATGAAATAAAATGAATCATTTACCTCAGTTATTTTGACAAAATTAAAATTTTCTTCTTTTCATCAATGGCAGATAACTCTTAAAAAACATATAAGGTGCAAAATGGCCGGTTTCTTACATGTATATATTATCATGCAGTCATGTGAATTCGGTTCATTTCACTTTCATCGATATCTAGCAATCCTTATTTTTAAAACTAGTTTAAAATGATTCAAAATTGTTCAATATCCCTTCGTTATACATTGAATACCTTAAAGTAAATAGAAGAGCTGAAGTACCGTAAAAGTATAAAAATATGCAATTTTCTCCAAATGTGTGG